AAAAAAAAAAAGGACATTAGTAGTTTCTTTTTTAATAGCCTATTGACATATTTGTTTGATTGCTACCATTTTTTAAAATTACCTGCTTTGAGTTATAAATTTTTTTTGTTAATCACTATGCATAATAATTAAGTAGTTTCATTGTAATCTATCCTTATATAATAAGAATTAACATTTATTCAAAATAGTAGGTCAAATTATGATCAATGTCGGATTTGCATTAAATATTTTCTAAAATTGGTAAGTTTTTGTCCTTTTTATATTTCTCATTAATTATGTCATTTTCACATTTCTCATTAATTATGTCATTTTCACACATCTAATTAATTCATTAATTACGACATAATTATTATAAATTATTTCATTTGAGCTTTTATCGTTAAAATGTATAGCGATCTGTTATGACCTTATCTCATTGATATTTCCATGAAGCGTCCTTATCGTGTTCTATTTTTTTTGTAACCACTCTATATCAATAATCGGATATTTGGTTAATGATAGCACACGTCTTTATTTCAAGGAGCGGATATTCTTTGACCTTTAATTAATCTGAACTGATTGCCTTGACTTTTCAATTTTAAAAACTCTTTTTTAAAATATTTCGGCTTAAGATTCGGATTTCATTATACAAGTCATCGGATTGTTTGAATGAAAATGAATGAAAAGAACACCAAAAACAAGTAGCCTTATTCATATAACCAATCCTAAAATATTAGTTTGTTCACCAAAAAGAGACAAATCTTAGAAATTTCAAAATATTAGTTTGTTCACCAATCCTAAAATATTAGTTTGTTCACCAAAAATATTAGTTTGATTTTTAGGATTTGTCTCTTTTGAAAATATTAGTTTGTGATAATTGGGAGTTACCAAATAATCAAACTCATAATGTTGTGTACAAGGAGGTTTTTAATAATATATGATTGTTACCGAACTTTTTATGATTCAACAATGTTCCTATGTATTTTACTGATTTCAATTTCGATCCTAATGCACGTGAAGTTATAATATTTTTCCAAATTTTATATCTCGTGCATCGCACGGGTTACGTACTAGTATATGGTTGACATGAATAATGCTAAGTCATTTTCATGTTTAATTGATGGAATCCTATAAAGTGTGGGAATAATTGAATTGATGTTGGTCGGATTGATATGGAAAAAATCAAATATAAGGACAATTTTGTAATTGTTACATCTTATCACACCTTTTCATCAATGACAACAAAAAATTATTCAAAGATTCAAAGGTTTAACTAAAGCCTATCTAAGACCGCAAACAAGGTATTAAATGCGGTTGATCTTATTTGTACCAAAAAAAAAATGTGGTTGATCTTATATGAATAGTGTTAATCTATAGAAAGTTTTAATCATGGTCTTACTTGTACAAGTCCGCAAACATGGCCTGAGAGTATTCATTAAAAAATGAAAATATATATACAGAGTTGGATCATATGAGAAGGAGGGAGAATGAAAGAAATAAGAATGATTTTGGGTCATGTGATCAATCCCATCAATGATTATGATGAAGTCAAACTATGATCAATCATTAATCAAATTATAGTAATTATTTGATCATAGAGGGGTCAAATATACTCATTTAACCAGTGTTTTTCAACTCGGGCGACCCGGCGGGTCGACCCGGGACCCGGTCGACCCGGAGCTGGAACCGGTCCGGGTGAGCTATTCGGATTGGGAAACAACAGACCTGGTCAAACCCGGTCAAAACCCGGTCAACCCAGCCTTGACCCGGTCGACCCGGGACATTGACCTGCCTGGGTCAACCCGGTTGACCCGGTCCTATATACTTTATTTATTAATTTTTTATTTTTTAATATATTTTTTGTTTTTAAAAAATAAAACTATTTATATATATTTATATGATAAATATTTATCATGAAATACATATTATTAACACTTTAATGTGCAAATTTTATATACAAATATTTAATTTTATTTTTTTCATATATATTTTATAAGACAAAATACTCTATATATAATTTAAAAAAATTTAAAATTAATTATCCGGTTCAGCAATTGACCCGGTGACCTGGCGGTTGAACCGGTGACCCGGAGACCTGCCCGGGTCGATTCTCGGGCCGGGTTTAAAAACTATGCATTTAACCACTAATTAAGGACAAAGTGGTAATTATGTATCCATTCATTCTCATGTGGGTTCCACCACTGATAGGTCGAAAAATATGTGTATTTTATATGTTTAATATTGCATTAAGCATATTCTTGACATATTTATATTTTTCGACTTATTTATTATTTAGGTAGAATTTTTATTTTATATTTAATTTTAGCATAATAGTGTATTTTATGGACGTGAAACCGTTGACGAGAGTAAGCGAAAATTTTGGCCCAAAGATAATAGAATTAAAAGCCCAAAGTTTGAGGGCAAATAGAGGCAAAGCTGGGATCATAGACTCCACTCACGCAACTCAGGCGGCTGACCATTTATTTTCAGAAGAGGACTTTTTTTATTGAGGGAGTTTTTAATTAGTTGGACATTGCTTAGATTTATTTGCTGGGACACGTAAGAGGGATTTTTTTTGGCTTGAAAATTGTGAGGCAGCGGCATAAGTAAAAAGAAAAGGAATTGTGAGAGCCTGACGGAGAAAAAAAAAAGAACTCCAGTACAGAGCAATGTTTATTGTATTTTTATATTTATTTTCGTGTGTTTTATGTACTTTAGTCGAGTCATTTTAGATTCATTTTAGTGTCGGCCGATCTGTGTTTTACATGTCTTTCATTTTATTTTATATTTGGCGTACTTGTCCGTACTTTTTGGTGAAATTTCAGGATTATTTAGAGGTCGAATGAGAAGAGTCGAACCGAGCCCCGAGAGATGAGATTTCCAAGAAATTTTGAGCCCTTTTCGAGAAGTTTTGAGCCATTACGTACGAGCTATGTCCATTCCGAGTATGTCGAGGCTTGTTGACCAAAGTCCTCAAAAGCTAGCCAGGACTCGCGACCTCGCACCATCCCCCGCGACCATGCGGACGCGCGATGCAGCTGCCCAGGACGCTCCGACCACGCAGCGAAGGCCGCGACCTCGCGAGTACCCCAACCGTATGCCGCGACCTCGCGGAAGGCACCGTGACCTTGAGAGTCCCTTTTACATGCTGCCCGCGAGCTCGCGAAGATCGTGGAGACCTCGAGAGTGTCTGCCTCCTGCCCTCCGCGCGCGCGAAGAGCCCGGCTACCTCGAGAGTGCCCTCCTACCTCGCGCCGCACCCATGCCACCTCGTACCGCGACCAGCAGATTTTCCGGCGAGCTCGAGAGTGTCCCTTAGTAAATGTGCATGTTTTTAGTGTGTGTTTGTGGTGTAGCTATATAAAGACATTGTGCTTTGTAATTTTGGAGATCACCCCCTCATTTCCCAACTTTTAAGTTGGGAAATCCTCTCTATTTTCTCTCTTCTCTCTCTCTTTTTTTTTTATGCTTTGGTTGGGAGTCTTCTCTCTCTTTTCTTTTTTTTTTTTATGCTTTGGTTGGGAGGTCCATGACTCAATTTTTCGGCGAAATTCCAGCGAGTTTACTTTTATTCAAGTTTCGAGCTTTATTCACTATTTTCGTTCAAGCATGCAATGGGAGAGTAGGTACCTAGCTTAGGCCCTTCTACTTTGAGTTTGATTGTCGAATTTTGAGTTTATGCTCGTTTTTAGGTTTTTGCTTTATTTTCATTGCTTGCTTTCGTGTGTTGGGAATCTATACGTGCTTATCTAGAATAAAGGTCTCGACTTTGTTCAAAGCGTGATGATTTAGTGTAGAAAGCTCGTGATAGATTACCTATGATCACTATGCTCGCATGTTTTCTCTTGTTTTCTTTTATTTTCTTGAGTTATGGATACTCAGTCCAACCAATGCTTTGACCTTTCTTTCAATTCTTGCATTTTTCATTATTTGCTCTTATATTTTTAGATAAATTTCGTGCAATCAAATCCCATCAAGTGAGTAGAATGTGTAGGACCTTCTTTTTGGTTATGTGACTTTGACGACTAGGTAGTGAACGAAGCTCCGAACAGTCTTCCTTTAAGAACAACCCGAGTCGCGTTACGAACCATTAGATTTTTCTTGAGCCCGTTTAAAACAGTGTACTCGTCCACCCATTTTCCCACCTCGAGGGCCCTGGTTTTCCCACAAATCGCAATAAGATGGATAACGATAACCATATCTGGTTTTTCCTCGGAAGCTTCCATGGTACAGAATAAGGAGAGAGCTTCGTCCAAATCGCCTTTCTCCAAATACCCACCAATCATAGCTATCCACGTCACCCACGACCTCTCGCTCATGTGATCGAATATAAATCAAGCCGAGTTAATATCTCTACACTTTGAGTACATGGAGACGAGCGTGTTAAGCAAGCGGATGTTCACATCACACCCTAATTTCACTACGTGCACGTGAACGGCCACACCGTGGGATAAAAATTCGGGACTGGCAAAGGACGAGAGCAAATTAAGAATCGTATTCAAATCGGGTTTGTAGCCATCCCTCAAAATTTTTAAGTAAAACTGGACGACTTTGTCCAGCTCCTCGAAATTCGCAAAACCCGCAATTACGGCATTCCACGAGACGACACTAAGAGTACCCGAACCTATGCCGAGAAAAATCCTCTCCACCGAGCGGAACTCGCCGCACTTTGCATAACAAGATATAAAAGTATTAGCAACCGAAACATCCTTTTCAAACCCGGAATTCAACCCAAAACAATGAACAGAGTGCAAAAACATGGCATGTTTCATCCCTGACGCCAATCGGGTCAAATCCATGACCGTAACTGAATCTGGCACAACACCGTCATCGACCCTCATCCTCCTAAATAACAAGGAGACCTTTTCCAAATATCCATCTCGAGCGAAACCCGAGATAATAGCATTCCAAGAAGCTAAGTCCCTCACGAGCATTTCATCAAATAGTTGGTGTGCGCATTCCAAATGGGTGCATTTCACGTACATGTCGACCATTGTCGTCTGCACGTATATGTTCGAACTGTGGGGGGTTTTTGCCACGTGGCCATGGACCATTTGCGAGAGCTTCAGGTCTGCTAGCTTCGCACAGGCTTTGGCGATGAAGGGAAAAGTCTAGTTGTCGGGGGTTTGTCGTTGTTTCATTTGGCAGAGGAGGAGAAGGGCCTTTCGAGGGTCGCCGTGGCTTGCGGCTTGTCTGATGCTTGAGTTCCATGCCCCGAGGGACGATAACACCATGCTCTCATTGTTTCTGGAAAACGAGCAGGAATATATTTGAAAAGTGGAACAATGATTGAAAATAAAAAATAATGTGAGAGTATGTTATTAAAAAATGGAAATATATATATATATATATATATATTTATATAGAGAAATGATAATATGAGAATGAGAGATAATGAAAGAAAGAAGAATGGTTGTAGACCATTAAATCTTACATATCAATAGTTAGAATAAAGTAAAAATTTGGTCAATCATTAATGGCAATTTTGTAAATTAACATACATTATGGTCAAATATACTTATTTGACTACTCAATAGGGATAAATTAGTAATTAATATGTACAGATTAATGAATATGGGCCCACCATAAATCAAATAACACACTACACTCTCTCTCACATTTACACTCCAAACACACACTCTACACACACAGGCCTCTGCGCACACACACAGAAATACACACACACACACACATCTTCATACCGCCGCCATCGTCTTCCTGTCGCCGCCATCATCCCCCTGTCGCCGCCGTCATCCCCCCGTCGCCGCCATCCTATCGCTGCTTTTCAACCGTCGCCGGATTTCAGCTACCGTCGCCGCCTCTCACCTTGTCGCCGACTTTTTGCCAGTCACTATTTCGCAGCTTATTGTCGACCTGCTCAGCCCACCATTCCTCAGCCACTGTCACCGTACAAACCAGCCCGTCGCGAGCCTCCGTCACCACCCCCAGCACCGGCAACGTCGTGGCCGTCGCTTCCAGACCGACCACAGCTTCCAGCCCTTGCTGTCCGTCGTCCGCTCATGTCGCTACCGGCAACGCAGCGGCCGTCGGCCGCTTCAATGTCGCGAAACTCCCCGTCGTTTTGGCCACTCGCCGGTGAACGTCGGCGGCGAATAATAGGCTAACGTCAGCCGCCACTGATCGCTTTGATGTTTACCGGATGTTTCATTTGTTATATATATCCTGTGTGTTGTTTGGGATTTGGGTTGTGTGTTTGAGAATTTGATTTATTTTAGGGGTCTAATTGCAATTTCTGAAATTTTAGTATATTTCAATTGAGTACAATTAGCATTGATAATATAATATAAAAGGTTCCATACATAAAAAATAATACATAAAATGCACTATACTATTTTTTATATTTCAATGGAAAATTACAGCTCAATATTTTTATACAAAAATATAGGAAATAATATTTATAATATATTTGGATTTTTGTTTTGGCTATTTAAATAAAAATTATGACATTGTACCGAAATAAATAATAATAATAATAATAATAATAATAATAATAATAATCATCGAAACAAAATATAAAATTTCATAATGAATTTATATTCGTTGGGTCTCATTCGATTTGGTGCAATCTGGTAAACATTATGTGCAATTCGTATAACCATAATGTGCACTCGCAATACATAATATACATGAGAAAATAGTATTATTTTTCATAAAAATAATGTGCACTTGCAATACATAAATAGTATTATTAACCATAATGTGCCCTCGCAATACATAATATAGATGAGAAAATAGTATTATTTTTCATAAACAAATATAAATAAAAAAATAGTAATATTTTTCATATAAGTCGGGATGTTCAGTTATTTTATTTATTTAAAAAGACTAAATCCGACATTTAACCAACTAATATTATTTGATCGATTAGCAAAATTACTGATTTTTTAGTACGTGCATCGTGTCGTTTTATACGGTTCAACATGTTGTGTTATAAGGTGCAACGTATTACTGTATAATGTGCAACGTATTAATTTCGATACGTTAGCATGTTTGTGTTTTTTTAGATAGATGATGTGATAGAGTGCAACGTATTGTTTTATAAAATGCAATACTCCGTTATATAAAGTGCAATATCTAATTTATACATTCCCATATAAATAATACGTATAATTGTACATTGAATTAACCTAAATAATTAAAATATCTTTTTATTTATTATTTTTATTATATAATTTAATTATTATTACAAAATATTTTTAACATTACCCTGCATTTGTTATATTTAAGTGCATTTGTTAATATCTGTTACAAAATATTTAGTATCCTATATTATTAATTTAATTAACATTATTGTGCATTTGTTATACTAAAGTGCAATATCACTGATACAAAAGTGCAACCAGTCATTCAATAATGTGCAATGTGTTCAATAACGTTTTAATGTCTTATTATCGTTTATCAAAATAATTATATAATAAAAATATATTTAATATCTATATTTTTTATTTAATATATTATTTTACTGCTTTTAAAAAAAATAATATATATATTACATATGACATTTTAAATTAAATTTCCTATGGAAACTATATTTAGTTCTTGAAATCCTCAACCCACTAATCCACCACATCTATTCATATATTTAAATCCTAAAATTATTTATACGAGATTGGTACAAACCAGCTGTTCACCAACCCACCACATCTATTTAATTGTAACTAGTATTTAACCCGTGCATTTGCACGGAAAAGTTATATGATAAAGTGATAAAGAAAAAATTATAAAAATCATAACATGATCATTGATAAAATAGTTAAGCTACAAAATTTAAATTTAAATATTATTAAACACTTCTTTATATACAACATTCGCGGTTTTCCCTTCGTCACAATCTCCATCACCACAAATCATTATTTTAAGCCCCCTCCGATTCGTGACTCTAGATAGTGCCACATACAACTGTCCATGACTGAATACAGGATTCTTCAATAGTAATCCAACGTGGGACAGTGACTGGCCTTGACTCTTGTTGATAGTCATAGCATATGAAACCATGAGCGGGAATTGTCTGCGCTGAAATTTGAATGGTACCCTCAAATCGGATGGTATAATTGTGAGCCTAGGAATAAGAACCTTGTCACCAGCTCTGGCACCGGTTAAAATCCTGCATTCGAGGACATGGCTGCTGAGCTTAGTGATAGCCAACCGTGTACCTGTTGACATAAAAACTCAGAAAACAAAAGCATATCAGTCAAATTTGTACAAAGATAAAAGGAAGTGTAGATGACAAATTGAATTTTGATGAACAATACCGTTGCACAACCCCATAGAGTGATCAATGTTTCTGAGAAGCATCACTGGAGTGCCGACCTTAAGGTGCAGTTTATGATTCGGAAGCCCAGAGCACTTGATCCCATTGAGAAACTCAGGAGTGTGAAGATCCTGAAGAGAATCATATCCAGCATCTGACTTGCACGGGGTGTCTGAACTCAAGTAAGTCCTTCCCTCGGATGAGTTCAGTGAGCTCATGTACTCGTTAACGGACTCAACCACATCAAGTGTGGGGGCGAGTATGGCTCTGTCCTTCAGATAGCTAAGATCATCACATGCACTTCTGAACATCGGGTAGGTATTCTCAACAATAGTAGCAATAGGATCCCCTTGTGAGTGTAGAAGAATATCGTCGGGGATATCGATATCGACACAACCGTCGTTCGATTCACCGACTGTACCGTCGCCGATGTTTGCAAGCCACTCAGAGAAGCTCCTCAACTCATCGTACTCATTGCCCCCACCAAGGCTTCGAAGCCTCATATTCCGAGTCAGTCTCAGAACGATACAATCGCGCCACAACTTGGATGAATTGATGGTCGCATTAACTATGTCGCTTCGACTGCCTTTAGGGACAACGGGTAGTATCTGTCTGAAATCCCCACCTAACACAACACACTTGCCGCCAAATGGGAGATTTTTCCTCGATGGATCAACTGCTTCCATTAAGGCTCGCAAGGTGTTGTCAACCGTCTGGAAGCAATATTTGTTCATCGTCGGGGCTTCATCCCAAATGATCAACCGACATCGTATGATCAGTTCGGCTAAAGGACTCTGCTGACTGATATCGCATGTAGAGCCTTCCACTGGGTTTAGTGGGATTCTGAATCGTGAATGCGCAGTGCGTCCGCCAGGAAGCAAAAGTGACGCTATACCGCTCGATGCAACGTTCAACACAATTTCACCTTTGGATCTCAAAGCAGAAGACAACGCCCTCCAGACATACGTTTTTCCGGTGCCGCCGTAACCATAAACGAAAAACATGCGGCCGTAGGTACGGTAGACAGAGTCCATTATCGAGTCATAAACATTGCGCTGCTCATCAGTCATGTTGGCAACCAATTCTTGGTTCTCAATAGCGAGTGCACGACGATCGTAATTCAACTCGTCCATCACCAGTCTGTTCGTGGATGCCTCATTACGATCGAGATTAGGAAAAGGCATTGTACCGTATTCCCGAAGACTCGTACCACGCCTGCGCAAAATTTTTTCAACCTCCGCCAATGCCAGATTCTTTACTTCATCATCGCTCAAAACCAATTCTGTAACAACAATATAGAAAGTTTATAAATATAAAGACATAAGAGAAAAAGTAAAAAACATAAGTATGTGACCGTAATTGATTCGTTTACGTGGGTGCTGTAAAACCCTCCGACGATTATATAATATGTCATCCGATAGGTAAGGCCAGCATGATTCCCACACGAACTCCGGTCTACCGAGAGTATCAGAAGACAACAAAGTAGCAAAAAGGTTTCTCAACGAATTGGCACTCGACCACTGGCTTGCCTCGATAATCCCTTCAATGTACTCTTTGTCGTCCTCAACCAGACCGAGGGTATAACACGCGTCACGATAAGAATCGTGTTGTACGCCGTCCAACTTCATATAGTCACGATGGCACGTTGCACCTCGAACAACGTTGAGAAGACACCCCAAGTAATATATGTCACCAGCACCAGGGGGGACGAAGTACAAACGCGCGATACGGTCACTTCCTTTTCTAGGCTCCCAACTGTTGGTTTCCGAGTGCCACGTAAAT